AATGTATTGGGAGGGAAGGAAGGAGGAAAGGAAGGAGGGAAAGGAAGGGAGGACATGCGAATGTATTGGGAGGGAAGGAAGGAGGAAAGGAAGGAGGGAAGTGAGAAAGCTTCGAGATATCCGCCATATTATCCCTCTCCCTACCTCTTCTGTTCGCAAAAAATTCGCCGCCTTCCTTCCTCTCTCTCCTTTCCACTTCCTGCTTTCCCCCTTCCCTTTGCACGCTTATCCCTCCTTTCAGTGCATCCCATGCCCTTTCCTCGACTTTGAAGGCTTCACTTTCTTCATCACCTCCTCTTCCTGCTCCTCCTCCTTCGCTTCCTCCCTCCCTCCCTCTTCTTTTGATTCGAAGCCCTCGACGGGGTTCCCTGACTGCAGGTAAGGACCATGCGGCAAAAATGCCAGCATTTTCACCGCTAACCCATGTAGTCTTGCCAAAACATGTTGTTGGTGCGCACAGAGCGTGAAGTGATGGGAGCACGGCGCGAAGGGAGGGGAGGCGAGGCATGGGGGAGGAGGTTAAAGTAGGTAAAAGGGACGAGGAGAATGAACCACCCCAGAGATTGAGAAGGTGGCCTCTGGAAAGATCCCTGCACGGACTGGCTTTTTATGAGGTGGAGCATGCAGGGGGAGGGAAGGCGTGAGGAGGAAGAGGAGAAAAAAAGGTGAGAGAGACGGAGGAGAGGGAAAAGGAAATAGAGCAGGTAGAAGACACAGGTACATGGAGCACAGGAAAAAAGGAGGCGTCATCAATAAGTCGATTTACGCAATTGTGTGGTAAATCAACCATGGAAAGGACATTGCGGGATGTATCTTAAGCGTAATCAGGTGGCAGGGAGGGAAAGGGGAAGGTCTGAAAAGCGGAGGCTGAAGGGCCTCCAACCCTGCTGCCAGGTCCCGCACGCTTATGTAGCGGTTGACGAGAAGTGCAACAACGCGTGAATAAAGGTGCCAATACAGCGGCTACTGGAAGGGAATTTGGGACACAGTCTGCATCACTGCATCAATACGCGACGTACTGGAGACGAGGCAGTTGTCCTTTTCTATGATCGCTGTTGCTTCGAGCACGGGACCAGGGAGACGCAATCCGACGGCAAAGGGGGAGAGGATTCCCCTGAAGCTCATAATTCTGAAGAAAAACAGAATATAATGACCGAAGGCCCGACTATGACGGAATATGAACAAAATAGACAAATGATATGTTTTTATCGCGTTCATCGGACAAATATACAGCTCATGGTGCGATACAATGGTAGTCATTCGCACCATACAAGTATCGGCCCATTCGATCAGACCGGAAGGGCGCAATCATCCGCCCCTTAAATCAAGTATATACAGATACTCACAGGAGCGATAAGCATAACCTGTGAATTTTATCAAAGTACATTTATCGCAAGGTGCTCGGCACACATTTCCCCCCCATTATTACGACACTCAAACTAATAAGAAGTACGTACTGCATGTAAATCCTTGGAAGAGATACGACAATCAAGCAAGCAATCAATATGAACATTAAATCCGCCCATTGAATTCATCATCATGAAACTCAAGTAAACCGAGCGTCGGCTTTTCCGTCCCCTCCTTTCGTGCTCCCTCCTTCTAAGATTCTTACTCTTCTTTCTCTCCTCTTTCACCGGAATAGTTTTTTCCCTTTGCTTTGTCTTTCTCTAGCAGCCACGTTGCCCCCTAATATCTTTGGCTGCCACCTGGGCATTAATCTTTCTTGTGACAACTCGTCATACATTCTTGTAAGAATAGAATTGCCTGACTGCTCTTGCGGACTATTTTTCCCAAGCCAAACATCAGGTCGATAACTAGCACCTGGGAGGGAAAATGTCCATTGTTCCATGTAGCGACTTTATGCTCTTTGACTCTCCTTCTGTGTATCCTCGAAGTGAGCGGTAAGAGCGTAGCGCTTTCGGGACCGCATTGTGGCTTTTCATACGCAAATTGGTGCTATTTGTCGTGGAGTTTAAATTGTGCTCACATTAAAAATTGATAGATGGAGAGTGCTCATTATCATGATGGTAGGATACACTTATCCCGACTCGATGCTTTACGAGTTTGAATAGAGATGCTTTGCATGGAATCTCAGGGAGGCGGGGGGTCATGACCCTGTGAGACGGGGTTGTGCATGGTAAGATCGCTCCTTTCAGAAACTTCCAGGCTCAAGAAGGTGTAAACTTGATATTTGAAGCAGCTTTTGAAGGCTTAGAGCAGCGGTTGACGGCTTGGAATGCAATAAGAACACCACATTCTAGAGACCTGTACTGAAAAGAGGGCCTCTGTTCTGGCGTACAGCCAAGCAACGTAACGTATGGCTTAGAACGTCGAATCGATCCATATATGCCAAATTTAAGTGAAATTGTACCCAATAATGCCACAGTGACTCTCTCACTCGTCGCTTACGGCTCGCCTGTGATGACCGGACCTGTTTGTCCATTTCAATTCCTGTCGATTAATGCGTCTGCTTGCGCCTCGAAAGCTCTCAGCCCTCCATCCCGCTCAACGCCGACCCCTTTAGACATGTGAAGATGAATATCACTCAATCTATAG